GTATTGCAGCACTGTTCATAATAACAAACACTTGGAACCAGCCCAAATCCCCATCAATGATAAACTGTATAAATAAAATGTGGCAGGCCGGGCACGGTGGCTCACGCCTGTAATCCCAGCACTTTGGGAGGCCGAGGCAGGTGGATCACGAGATCAGGAGATCGAGATCATCCTGGCTAATATGGTGAAACCCTGTCTCTACTAAAAAAAATACAGAAAATTAGCCAGGCATGGTGGCAGGCGCCTGTAGTCCCAGCTTCTTGGGAGGCTGAGGCAGGAGAATGGTGTGAACCTGGGAGCCAGAGCTTTCAGTGAGCCAAGATTGCGCCATGGCGCTCTAGCCTGGGTGACAGAGCAAGACTCCATTTCAAAAAGAAGAAAAAGAAAAAGAAAATGTGGCACATATACACCGTGGAATACTATGCAGCCATAAAAAAGATGAGTTCATGTCCTTTGCAGGGACATGGATTAAGCTGCAAATCATCATTCTCAGCAAATTAACACGGGAACAGAAAACCAAACACTGCATGTTCTCATTCATAAGTGGGAGTTGAACAATAAGAACACATGGACACAGGGAGGGGAACATCACACACTGGGGCCTATTGGGGGTTGAGAGGCTAGGAAACGGATAACATTAGTATAAACACCTAATGTAGGTGACAGGTTGATGGGTGCAGCAAACCACCATGGTACGTGTATACCTATGCAACAAAATTGCACATTCTGCACATGTATCCCAGAACCTAAAGTATAATAATATTTTAAACAAATAAATAAGTAGGTAATTGAGGAGATAATTTGCCCTGCTGGTTCTAGCTTAGAAAATTTTCTTCTTGAGAGAAGGAAATCTACAACCTGAGAAAGATTATTCTCCAATCCTTTTAGAGAAGAAGCTATGTCACCCTTTTCTGTAACATCTCTTTGCATGGCACTTGACTCTGTTTGAGGCGCTGTTGTTTACATGCTTGTATTGTTAGCTTTTGATACATAATGAAGGACCCCAAAACTCAGTGGCTTTGGCAGAACACCACAGCCATTTTTAGCTCAGGATTCTGGCTCAGCAATTTGGGCTGGGCTCAGTTGGGCAGTTCTTCTGCTGGTCTGTTGGGCTCAATCATGCACCTATAATCAGCTGCTAATTCAATTGAGGCCTGGTTCGTTTAGAGGGACGTCCGCTAGGACTTCTCATGGCTCTTATCCTACAGCAGGCTGGCCCAGGCTTGTTCATGTGACAATGGGTTCCAGGAGCCACGAGAGAGGGCAAACCTCAGTGCACAAACACTTTTCAGGCCTTTGCTCACTTCACACCCGATAATGTTCCATCAGCAAAAGCAAGTCATGTGGCCAAGCCCAGAGTCAGTGTGGGAGGGCACTCTGATAGGGATGCTGGGATGGGGAAGGGGGACTTGTAGCCATTTTTGCAATCAACCACTATGATATTGCTTAATCTGGACCCCCACCCAGTGAGACATGCCATGCACATATTAATTTATGGAGCTAAATTAATATGCACATCCCATTTTATGAGATGAAGAATGTTGCCCAGGGTCACATAGCAAGCTGGAAACAGGACTAGGCTTGGAAGCCCATCTCTCCAGTGCCAGCCCACTGCACCATCCCACTTCTCTTGGTTCCCTCCCACCCCAACATCAGTGCTGGGCCAGGGAGAGAATGAAGTGTCATCCAGGAGCCAAACCCTGGCCACCGTGCAGACATCCACCAGCAGAGACACAGCAGGCCCTGGGTGAACCCTCCCCAGGCTTCAGCCTCCAAGAGCCAACACTGCAGCCCCACTGCCACTGCAGCCTCCACCCTGGCCCAGCACAGAGTGGCAGGCTGGTTATTTCAATCAACGGTGTTTTGAAAATCTTGCAATTTAAAACCTTTTAAACATGAGTAGGTGAGGCTGTGATAGTGCCAATGACTAGTTGGGAGTACTTAGAGGCAATCTTAAATGTCTCCTGAAATCTCCATGCCAACGGTCCCATGAGGCACCAGGCAAGGTTAACGTTGCCAGGCTCACCCTCCTGTTAGCCATTTCCCCTGCTGCTGCATATCCTGAGTGTCTGGAGTTCCATGCACAGGTGCATCCACCTTTAAATACCTCTTGTGGATTATTTCTGTCTCACCTGCACCTGCCTTCATGTCAGGATTTACAGAAGCCTAAAGATCAGAGCCAGGAGCCGGGTGCGGTGGTTCACACCTATAATCCCAGAACTTTGGGAGGTCGAAGTGGGCAGATCACTTGAGTTCAGAAGTTTGAGACCAGCCTGGGCAACATTATGAAATTCCATCTCTACTAAAAATACAAAAATTAGCCAAGCATGGTGGCAGGTACCTGTAATCCCAGCTGCTCGAGAGGCTAAGGCGGGAGCATCACTTGAACCTGGGAGGCAGAGGTTGCAGTGAGCCAAGGTCACGCCACTGCACTCTAACTTGGGTGACAGAGTGAGACTCCATCTCAAAAAAATTAAAAAAATAAAAAATTACAAAGGCCAGGCGTGGTGGCTCACACCTGTAATCCCAGCACTTTGGGAGGCTGAGGCAGGTGGATCACCTGAGGTTAGGGGTTCGAGGCAAGCCTGGCCAACATGGTGAAACCCCGTGTCGACTAAAAATACAAAAACTTAGCTGAGCATGGTATGGGGCGCCTGTAATCCCAGCTACTCGGGAGGCTGAGGCAGGATAATTGCTTGAACCCAGCAGGCAGAGGTTGCAGTGAGCTGAGACTGCACCATTGCACTCCAGCCTGGGCAACAAGAGCAAAATTCCATCTTAATCAATTAATAAATTAAATCAGAACCAGGAGATCTGTGAGGACCGTGGGCCCAGTCTGGCTGTGGGTGAAGTACCTGGGAGGCAGTATTCTGATCTCCTGTCTGGATCCCCACTTTCCACACACCTGAGCCTCGGTGAACTCCACCCAGTCACCTGGGCATCCATCAACTCATCCATCACCACTTCCACCCTTCGTCCTTCCCAGTGATGCCTAATAGCAAGGAATGAGAGCAGATTGGAGTCTTCGCAGTGACAACCACAGGATGATTCTTCCCACTAAAGGGGCCCAGAGGCGGAACACCAGCCTGAGCTGTGCTGCAGGAGAGCCAGGAGGGACGTCTGCCTGCAGCATAAAGATCTGGAGAGGAAGATCTGCATACCTGGAGTTTTGGTGTCCTAATACTTCTTCCCCAGGCCCCAGAACTGTGTGCAGGAGCGATGGTCTGTGGACAATTCACCTGTCCCTCGGACAGCACCACCCACTTTGCATTCAGATGTTTGAACACAGCCTGTGTTTCCCACAGTGGTCAGGTGGAATCCCGGAGTTTCAGGCCAGATGATTTGTGCAGCCTCCTCTTTCTGCAAAAAGAGGATGATGGGGGCCCGGACATGAACTCCATGACACAGACAGCTATGGTCAGAGCAGGGAGAATTAACGAGCAGGAGACACCTTGGATAGGAAGGACTAAGGGTGCTGCTACCTGGAGAGAGGAGAGCTGTGCATTCAGGCCCAGCCTTGTCAGGGAAGCCTCAAGTCTCTGTTTATTAAGGCTGGAGGGAACCAGCCATCCTGGCTGCAGTGGCGGAGTGAAAGCAGCCGAGCCCTCTGCACTGCTGAAAACTGACACAGGGTAGGGTCTCCCGCACCTCTCAGAGGCACGGGGCTGCAGCCCAGCTGGTGAGGTCAAGAGAAGGGAGGAGACAGGCCTCCAGATGGTGCAAATGAGCAGGGCAGGGCTGGAAACCGCATCCACTCATGCCACTGACTCTAAGCAAGTAGCAATGGCGTGCCCCTGTGGTTTTGGCAGCACCAAGGAGCATGTAGGGTGCTTCCACACTTGCTCCTCTCATAACCCCGGAGGGAGCATCCCACTTTCCAGGTGAGAAGCCCAGGGTTTACGGGTGGGCTTTCCCCAGTTGCACGGGAGGCCTTACAACAGATGAAGACCCTAAAGACGGACGGGGAGCCAGGCGGGGAACCCAGGTGAAGCAGGGTGAGGCACAGGTGTTACGGCATCCATGGCAGGCCAGGGGCCAGGTTATGATCATATTGGAGAGACAGGTGGGAGTGACCCAGATGTTGCTGGGGTCGTTCCTCAAAGACCCCAGCCCACTCGTCTCCACCAACCTGCAATTTCTCAGCTCCACACTGCAACCCAAAGGGTGGACAGACAAGGTTGCTGTGGAAAAAAGACTTACACACAGCAGCATCAGGATGCCCGAGACAGGGTGCATGGGAGTGCAAAGCTGTGCAGTTTAGGCAGGGCTGTGGAGGGGATGCTGGGATGCACAAGGGACGGAATTGTGTGCAATCATGTAGCCTTCATGGAGGAGGAGGACAAGCAGGGCCGGAAATTATGAGGACATTTTGGAGTGTGTATTTGGGGAGAAGGAAGCATATTGTCTTTTTTTTTCTTTTTTTTTGAGACAGAGTCTCACTCTGTCTCCCAGGCTGGAGTGCAGTGGTGCGATCACAGCTCTCTGCAGCCTCCAACTCTTGGGCTCAAGCAATCCAGCCTTCCAAGCAGCTGGGAATACAGGTGCATGCCATCACACAGAGCTATTTTTTTATTTTTTATTGTGATGGGGTCTCACTATGTTGCCCAGGCTGGTCTCAAGCTCCTGGGCTCAAGTGATCCTCCAGCCTCAGCCTCCCAAAGTGTTGGGATTACAGGCATAAGCCACCATGCCCAGCTCATATCATCTTTTTGTTAAAATAAGGTAATGACTGGGACAATTAGAGCTCTCACACCCCACTTCAGGCCAGGCGCCTGTGTCTGATCTCACTAGGATCCTAAAGTGTATGGTCTGTAAATTACAAACTGCAGCAACAAAATGCTTTATCATTAAACCAAGGCAGCCACATGCACCAGCCTCCAGCTGGGTGCTGAGTGTGAGCCGCCCCAGCCTGGGGAAGCCTCACTGTCCCTGGTCTGCTGTAAGCTCCTAGGTTCTTGTGACTCAGCTGTTAATCTTGCTTGTTTTCTCATCCCCTGCAGGCACCGGCCGTAGCTCCACCACAGACCCGCTCTTGTCCCTGCTTCTGTTAGCTCTGCATAAGTTCCTGCACCTGCTGGTGGGACATTGACAGACAGGGCCAACCCAAGCATCTCAGAGGCCACACATGACCTGCCCAGGGCCCTCGGTGAGGACCACGTCGCTGAATGGACACGAACTGAGAGACGCATGAAAAAGTCCACATGGAAAATAAATAAATCATATTTTTGGGGAAGTTACACTTAAAATAATGTAGAACACTTAAAATAATGCATCTAGTTTCCAAATAATTTGGAGTTTGGCCCATGCAGTGTGCATGGGAATCGATTATTTCTCTACTTCAATGTAGTTTTATTTTCTACACTTTCCCTCCAAGTCTTCATTTTGCACGAACTGTTGAGCAGTTATCTTTAGGATAATATGTACAAATGTTGGGGTCAAAGCCTTTTGACAAAGCGAAATATTTTTAGTAGATTATTGTGTTTAGGATTTTTTTTATTTACTTTTTTTCTTTGGGGGCTTTTCTTTTTTATTAAATTATTTCTTTTGAGGCATTTTGATTAAAAAAAGACATCTTATCATAATTAAAATTCACTGTCAATAATATTTATTTTTAAATAAAGATTGGAAACAAGGTCAGACACTTGTTTATAAATTGTATTGTATATTGCTGAAGAACAGTTGAATAAAAAACAACTTTGAAATAACCTTTCTACAGCCATGTATGAATGTCAAGCGTTGGTGCCCACTGCAGCTTGGCTGCCTGCCGTCCCCTCCTGTGCTCTGACGCCAGCTGCACTTTTGGCTGGGTGTCACCCGACGTGGAGGACAGCCCAGGGCACCTGGCTGAGACCACGCTGAGCAGATGGGAGCACCTGCCCAGCCTCCCTTAGGGACAGGGCACCTCATGGAGGTGGTGGTGAGACCAGCCCCCAGCCTGGGTCCTGAAGGAAAGGAGATCACCAGGAGGAGGTGTGAAATAAGTCACACTCCTTCCCACTTGGTTTCAATGAATCATGCAATGCATTCGCCCACTTGGAGATTGTATGTCAAGGTGTATTTACTGTGGTTAGCTTTGCTGCTAGTTTGAAGGGGGAATTTGGGGAGAAGGTAGGACTTGCCACACTCCTTCCCATGCATCTAAAGATTGCTTTGAGCCTCTGAAACTCATGGGTTTGGGGCAGGTTACACATGTCCTAAGGAAACGGGCACGCCCTGCGTGGGGGCTACTGTGTATATTTCATTCTCTGACAGCATCTCATTAGATAGCTGGAGCCCATGGATTTGTTTAAAACCCAGCCAGATTTTAACACCTGCAGTTTCAATAAGTGTGGTTGTCATTGATGTCGTTCGCCAAATACTTCCGTTCTCCGCTGGTGAGGCACGCGGCAGGATGGCGCTTCCTGGCCTCCTGTGGCAGGTGGGGCCGCAGCTCTGGCGCATGAGCTGGGAACAGAAGGGACATGCATTGCTCCTAGTCCAAGGCACAGGATTGCTAGTGCGAGGCCCTCCAAAGCACTTGTCCTCTAACGTGACGACTCACAGCGTTCACATCAGCAAGTGTTCTGCCAGTCTAGGTCCCTGAGTGACTGCGATGAACACAGCCTCCCCTGTGGCCAGCACTGGATCGTGCAGCCCCGTGAGGAGTCCACGGTGCCGCTTCACCCACTCATCTTCGGGCGTTATCGCAGCATACCCAGTCTGTCCTGATTGGCTCAGTGTGTAGTTGACTGACTGTATTTAGCTCAGGGGAGGAGAAATCATGCATTTGGACAGTCCCACGTGTACAGAGACCCCGGGGTGGAGCTGATGTCCGGGGAGGCCTGTGTGGAGAGAACGGTTGGGATGGCTGTTTCTGATGGGTACATTAACTTGTTTCACAATTCCTTTATATTGATCAGCACCAATCGAGCTGTAAATTTAATCACTCTGTCTGGCAGATAGTGATTCTGTCCAGAAGGATCATCCCCTTTTATAGTTAACTCAATACTGCAGCAGCTAATGTCATGTTAAATACTGGCCCAGTGTGCTGGAGAGCAAACCCTACTTCCCGGATACCAGTGGAACGGGGACAATGTGTCAGTAAGGGTGATGTTGTGCCAGATCGTTCCAGGGGACAGAGGGCTGGGGATTCATTCCCCATAATCAAAACCAGATGCCTCTGTACAAACACAGGTGGTCAGGGGAAGCTCCCAACTTTAACATGATATGCACAGGGGAGGGGCAGGTGTGATGGGCACAGGGGAGGGGCTGATGTTATAGGCACAGGGGAAAAGCTGTGAGATGGGTACGGGGAGGGGCTGGTGTGATGGGCACAGGGGAGAAGCTGGTGTGATGGGTACAGGGGAGAAGGTGGTGTGATGGGCACGGGGAGAAAGCTGGTGTGATGGGGTACAGGAGAGCTGGTGTGATAAACTAAAAGCTAGTGTAATGGATAAGAGAGGAGCAGGTATGATAGGCTGAAGAGAGAAGTTGGGGTGATTGGCACAGGGGAGGGGCTGGTGTAATAGGCACAGGGGAGGGACTGCCGTGATGGGCACAGGGGAGGGCTGGGAGTGATGGGCACAGGGGAGAAGCGGTGTGATGGGCACAGGGGAGAAGCTGGGGGTGATGGGCACAGAGAAGCGACTGCCGTGATGGGCACAAGGAGGGCAGGTATGATAGGCTGGGGAGAAGTAGGTGTGATGGGCACAGGGGAGAAGTTGGGGTGATGGGCACAGGGGAGAAGCTGGTGTGATGGGTACAGGGAGGTGATGGGCACAGGGGAGAAGCTGGTGTGATGGGTACAGGGGAGGGGCTGGGGTGATGGGCACAGGGGAGGGGCTGGGGTGATGGGCACAGGGGAGGGGCTGGGGTGATGGGCCCTGGTGAGAGGAGCAGGTGTGCTTTGGAGAAACCAGCCTTTTCTGCGCAGAGGCTTCCCCTCAAACATAGAAAATTATTCCTCATGTCTGCCTCCTGGGGACAGAGCACTTCTAGGTGGGAAGCCAAGCATGAGGCTGAGCAAGTTCCCTGAAGGGGAGGCTGAACCCGGCCTCCAGCAGAAGTTAATGGAACTGAGACTGGAGCTGTTGCCAGGCTGGAAGGCACAGCCAATCTCTGGACTCAGGCTCCCAAGGAGCGGCTGCCAGCAGTCCTGCTGGTCCAGGGCCCTGGACACAGAGAAAGAAGAAGTTAAGTGCACCCCTAAGAATCCACAGTGCCGATCCACGAAGCCTGGTCTCATGCTTTCTGGGGTCTCACGCACTCCGAAAATGAGGACAAAGAACGCTCAGCCTGCACTGTGTTTTATGGAATGCGTACAAACCAGAAGAGAGAAGCACCCTCCAGAAACAAAAACCGTGGCATGGTGCTCACTCCCAAAACTGCCTTTCCCTTTGGAGTTTGCTTTCAGCCTCGGCAGACATGGGCTAGGGTTGCAGAACAAGACGATCTATTTCGGTTTGGGAAAAATGCACGGTGGGCGGCCTCGGGAGCTCGGGTGCAGCCAGAGAGTACCCCCGCCTGCTTGAAGGGACTGTGGAGCTGTGGGTCTGTATAGCAACTAACTCCAAAGTGAGGGACAGGAGTCCGGAGGGAGTGCAAACTCCACCCCAGCCTGGGGCTGAGTGACAGCAGGGAAAGGAAGGAGGGCAGCCAGGCTTGGGGGTGGGGGAGACCAAGCCACGCCCAGACCTCCATGGAGGAGCCCTGCTCTGCCTGATGATGAGGATTGTCACTGACTCTAGCCCCTCATGTGGTGCTGACCCACCTGTGCCCTCCAGGCAGCAGCCAGTATTTGGGGGCATAGCCTGGAAGGAAGGACAGGAATGCCCAGAATTTGACCAGAAGTGATGTGGGCAGAGGCTGCAGCATTCTGTTTCAGTTCTGTCTCAACCCCACATTCCTGGTTACAGCTCTGGCTCAGAAAACAACAGCTCTGTCTGATCCAAGACTGCCCTTGGTTGGAATACAGCAAACAGCCATTTGTGAGCTGCTGAGCTCGTGGCTAAAGGGGCTTCTGCTTTTGCCAGCCAGGGATACAGCCTAACTTTTTTTTTTCTGACTTTAACTCTCCGGTCTATCTTTTTTTTTTTTTTTTTTTTTTTTTTTTTTTTTTGAGATAGAGTCCCACTCTGTAGCCCAGGTTGGAGTGCAGTGGTGTGATCTCAGCTCACTGCAATCTCTGCCTCTGGATTCAAACAATTCTCCTACCTTGGCCTCCCAAGTAACTGGGACTACAGGCACCTGCCACCACACCCAGCTAATTTTCTTTTTTTTTTTTTTTTTTTTGTAATTTTAGTAAAGACAGTGTTTCACCGTGTTGCCCAGGCTGGTCTCGAACTCCTGCCTCAGGTAATCCACCCACCTCGGCCTCCCAAAGAGCTGGAATTACAGGTGTGAGCCACTGCGCCCAGGGAGTTCTTGCCTATTTTTACACCGCTTCTTCCAGTGGGCCCATCCCCACTTTGGGCGACACTGGGCATTCACTTTGCCTGCATTTCAGAAGATACAACTCCCACTTTTCTGGAGGACAGGTGGCCAGAGGCTTTGGTGCATTTGCCCCACATGCATGCACACACCTGTGTGTAGCAGCCTGCTGCTTTAGAACACCATTTCTTTCCTTCCCGCCAAGGCTGCAGCAGCAGGAATAGCCCAGCACTGGGGAAACTTCAGCCAACTGAAGTTGGCTCCCCACATTGGAGCTGCTGCCTCTCAGGGCTCCCTACCTTCCTCAACCAAGAAGAACCTGCACACCCCACCAGAGCATAAATACACCTTTTACCTCATGCCAGGGGCCCTAGAAACACATGGAAATCCCACGACCTTTATGAGGGACCTGCCCCACTTTGTGGCTGCAGACACAACATGAGGTAGAGTCTGGAAACACCACCAGAGGTGACCCCTTTTAAATGACAAAGACCCAAGGAGCACCAACAATATATTTCAAGTCACAGAAAACATGACTTCACACCGAGTCTAACTTTCCACCAACCAGCAAAGACCCAATAAAGATCACATGTGTTCCCTCCACCTGATTGTTTAAAAGGGAGAAATGGTAAGTGGACTTTTAGTAGAAAGTATATGTGGTCTCCTTCAGATTTGAAGTTAGAAAGGATTTTTTAAATGAGACCGAAAAAGCAGTAATTATAAAAGAAAATATGCACCAGGCGTGGTGGCTCATGCCTGTAATCCTAGCA